TTCAAAACTATTAGTGAACTATGGCCGGGCGTGGTGCCTCACGCCTGTAATCCTAGCACTCTGGGAGGCCGAGGTGGGAGGATCGTCTGAGCTCAGGAGTTCAAGACCAGCCTGAGCAAGAGCGAGACCCCATCTCTACTAAAAGAAAAGAGAAAGAAATGAGCTGGACAACTACAAATATATATAGAAAAAATTAGCGGGGCATGGTGGCACATAGCTGTAGTCCCAGCTACTTGGAAGGCTGAGGCAGGAGGATCGCTTGAGCCCAAGAGTTTGAGGTTGCTGTGAGCTAGGCTGATGCCATGGCACTCTAGCCCGGGCAACAGAGTGAGACTCTGTCTCAAAAAAAACAAACGAAACAAAACAAAACAAAACAAAACAAAACAAAAACAAAACAATAACAACTCTTAGTGAACAATGTGCTCTTTGTCCCACAACTTGGTTTTAGCTTTTTCTTCAGCTAAGCTTTTTTTTTGTTTTCTCCAAAGTTCAATGAGAAGAAATTATTTGTATTACATTGTCTTTATTGTTAAAATAGAGAGGTATCTAAACCAGATGGTAACAAAATCTTCTAATAATTTCCCAGGTAAGCATGGCCTTCTAGGAGTCTGCCTCACAGAATTATTTCTAAATTAAACTATTCCCATGTTTAAATGATAGCCCCATGATTCCTCTTTTCTCATATTTAATTTATTTCCCTTATACTCTCACTTCTAGATTTCTGCAATTTCCATTTATCCAGGCTTCTTTTTGTGTCTCCCACTCTGTTTGTGACTGTTTGCAACATTCACTTTTCTCCTTTGAATTACCTTGCGTGGAATCTGTTTTTGTTACTGGAATCTAACTGATAAAAAAGGGTCTCATAGACTGTATTAAGGGGAATAGACATTTTTCTGGAAGCAACGATGAAAAGATAAAATATTCTGTAATATTTTGGAATAAAAATATAAAAAAAATACAATAAAAGATTTTAAAGCGGGTATGCGACTTAGTTAGGTATTTACTGCAGAGCGATCACACAGAAGTGTGAAGAATAAATACAGGTGCAAGGCTAGTGGCAGGAGGAGTAGTCGGTAGGCTCCTGGGAAAATCTAGGTGGGGCAGATAGGCTGGGCCATGCCACCTGCAGTGGGCCTGGAAACGCAGGGGTGGATTCCAGGCACAGAAGAATGGGGGCTTTGGTCGTGACCAGCCCTACAAGGGCTGGGAAGGAGGGGGATTCAGGCGTGATTCCTACTCCCCACCGGAGCATCTGGCTGAATGGCAGGGCGGCTCATTGAAATGGAAAATGCAAAACAAGCAGACGAGAGAGTGAGTGGGATCCTGAGTCACTTGTGTTTATGACACGGCAGAGCGGGGCCGGTCGACACTGCTCAGCGAGCCAGCTGGAGCTCCGCGGTAAGCCTGCACTGGAGAGACAGACTCTGAGTCATCACCATGGACAGTGGAATCAAACCGTAACAGTGGACAGTGTTGCTCGGGGAGTTCAAATCCGTGGCTCTTAAACTCTTGCTCAGATCACAAATCCTTTGATGATTTCTCCAGATGAATGAATATTAGCAGGTGACAGCAGACAGCAGGTCAGGAGAGGCCTTTTAACACCAACGTTTGAAGGTTGGGCTGAAAAGGCTCAGTCAGCATTTCTCTGTCCACTTCTCAAGCGGACGTTCATTTTTAACTTAACAATTGTCCCAACTTGCTACCTCTTGGGTTTTGTTTCCCAAAGGCCCTGCCTATGGCCTGGGGCAAAGATGACTAGAAGGCTTCTAAAAGTCTCTTTCTTGCTGTGCAGGTGACCAGCCACACTCCCTTTCCCGGGATGCTACCCCCACTTCCACTTCCGCCCCCACCCTGCTTCTAGGTGCTTCTATTCTCACCAATGGGAAGTGAATGGAAATGATGTGAATCCCTTGTGGCCCAGACTCTTACGACACCCGAAGGCTCTTCTAGTCTCTTACTGTTCCAGCTGGCTGGCCAAATGCTAACCAGGATTTGGGGGACAGTAGAGCCACAAAGGGGGAGAATTCTGCTTTCAGAATCGATTTGTGCCAAGAGCTTCCCAATTGCATCCACTTTGAACTCTCTCGCAGGAATGAGATAAAAACTTCTTTTGGTCGAGACACATGTGTTTTCTTCTATCTTTTACAGAGTTATAGCCTGTACCAACTAATACATTGGATTGTCAGTGAGTTTCTATTAAATTCTGCTTCATTCCAACTAGTCCTGCTCTGTGTGTCTTGCCCTGTGGAACCTCCCAAGGGAGAGGATACACCTGGCTCCTCGAATTACCATCTGATAGAGCATTCCACCCTGGGAGAGACTGTCCTGCCAATCACCTGGTCCCTCTTGTGTTCAGCTACCATGATTGCCTTAAGGTTAGTCACAGATGCTTGGAACTGATTTTGGCTCGGATAACATGGTCAAATGGTAGTACACAATGAAATGTATGTGTGAACTACTTTTTCTGACCACTTTGCTTAGAAGAAGGGTAACCATTTGCCCCAGTTTTCTAGAGAAAAGTCCCAATTTACACCCATTCTATTGTATAATCACTGACTGTCCCCTTTTGCTCTCAAAAGTGACCCAGTTTGGAGCATAAATTACATTATCACCCTAATCCAAAGAGGCTCATAGACATTTATCCAGTACTAAAGAGATGCCCATATGTAAATTCTATTTGTATGTAAGAAACTCATATTCAAATACCCCACAATTAAACCACTTGACTATTTCCTGGCATTGGCGCCCTCATTTATCTAACCTTATTTTTCATGATAATAGATTTCCTACTTTCCATCTAGCCAGTCAGCTTTCTCTGTCATATAGACATTGGCTTTTCTAGCAATGGCTTCCGCACTTTTCTTGGGCAACCACTGTCAGTGTGTTAGGTCAGATGCTGCGGCCTCCGCCCCAGCTCCAAGGTGGAGCTTGTGGTCTGGCCAATGCTGGTCAGAGGCTGGTATGGCCCCGGCCAATCAGATCTAGGGAGGGCTGGGCCCCTAACCTAAGCAGCATCGATCATAGCTACCTCTAAGACTTTGGTCAGAATAATGGGGAGTGGGCTATTCCCATACCACACACACAGGAAAGAGAGAGAGAGAAAAAGAGAGAGTGAGAGAAAGAGATATTGATTCTGACAATCATACCTCAATACAAGTCCTATTTCCAGACTACTCATAGAGCTTTTCAGTATTGAGCTAATCAATTCCTCCATTTACAACTGAAAAGAGTCATCATACATGTCTCTAACTTGCTCCTTTGTGCCTTTGCTCCTGCCATTTCCTCAGAATGAAACGTTGGTCTTTCCCCAATGCAGCTTCATTACACTGGGATTAAGCAAAGGCACTGATCTGTCTGCAGAGATGCTTTCCTGACTAACTCCATCCCACTATGATCAGTCACTCACTCTGAACACATTAGCCTTTACGCACAGACTCAAGCTGCAAAGCAATAGATCCCCGTTATATCCCCAGTAATGGTAGCACTGTTAAGTGGAGAATAGGGACATCCATTATGCAAGACAGCCTTTGCAATGCATTTCAACAACTGGACTAATACCACTGGTGTACATTGGAACTCTTTCATTTAAACGTGACAAAAACTCAACTTGTACCAAAGTAATTAAGGAAGAATCCATTGGCTTGTGTAACTGGGAAATAGGGGTAGAGATTTCAGTGAGGGCTGGAATCAGGGCTTCAAACCAAAGCTTGCTCTCTTTTTCCATCTCTCAGCTCCCTTCCCTTATGTGTTTACTTAATGCTGCAAATAAACTCTCCACGGTGTGGGTGTGACGAATATAGTTGTCAGCAACCTTTCAGTTCATCAGCTCTAGCCATTAGCTGCGATATTTCAAGCTAATTGTCCTATGAAAGTTCAGGGCAGGACTCTGATTGACCCTCTTTGAGCCTAGCTCCACCGATGAAATAGTCACCGAGGTGAGGAGTAGGCAGTTCTGTCACTGGCAGGGCCTTCGCCGGCCCATATGGCTCCCGAGCCTTTGTACAAATGAGCAAATGACTTTCCCACTAGGTAGATACAGCCCTGCAGGTGAACAGCTTGGCAAGCAGATGGAGCCTTTCTGTGAATTAGAAAAAGGTGACCTTTCTCCGGGCATATACACCCCATGCCAAGGTACACAGCTTGGGGAGAGGAGCATGGCTAGATTTCAGGCCTCACTCTTTCCCTTGGCCAGACATCTTTGAGCACAGCAAATTGTATCAAAGTAGCCCCATTCATTGGCCATTGCGCATCTTCCCTCGCCTTTTGATGGAGCCAGGTAGCGAGAGTGGGGTAAGATACAGACAGGGGCAGTCACTGTGACCACAGGCTCTAGTTCAGACATAGACAGAGAGGGGGAAGCTCCCAAAAGCAGAAAAAAATCAAACCAAACCAAACCAAAGCTAAGAAGACAAACGATATATGCTTACTTTGCCATACCACTGAGACCTATTTTTCCCAATTATATAACAATTTTTAAACTCACAGTAGAGATTAGAACATTGTTATTATCTGACAGTGAAATAAACAGGAGAAATATAATTGGGGACTATTTTTCCAAAAATAGAATGCACAGGCAACTTTTTTCTCTACCTTTAACTTAAGTAAAATTAACTAGTCTAATTTACAAATACAATAATCCTGAATTCTTTTCAGTTGTGTTGTAAAAAACTAAATGCAGTGTATCATAGCAGCCCACTCCTGCTACCTGCTTTATTTTTGGCTTTGAAATAATCTCAGTTGTAAAGCCTGCTGCCTGGTTAATTACTTACATAAAGGACGAGTTCCTAACACTCTCTCAAGGAGACCTCAGCCTCTCAGCTTAGCTCACCTCTGTTGACGTCTGGCTTTTCAATATGTTTTGTGCTATGGCAGCTATTATCTTCTATATTTAAATTGCAATAACAACAACAATAATAATAATAAATTTTACTATGATATTCCCCATTCCCAATTATATGACTTTCAAATGTCAAACAAAATGCTGTTAACTGCATACTCACCTTTACCCCAGTGGAGGTCTGATTCCTTCCTTTGGTGTCACTTGCTACTTTGTTTTGTTTTCCTTCTTTGCTATGAAGGAATATGACAATATTCATCACCTCTTTCCTTCTATTGTTTTTGCAGAAGCAAAATTCTTCTCAGAGGATTCAATGTTTTTTTTTTATTATGTTTTATATTTCTCTTGATTTTTTAAAAATGAATATAAACACCATGGAAAAATATTATTGCAAAGTAGCTGAAGATTGGTATCCTGAAAAACCATTTTATACTATTTTTGGAAATAGAAAGTGTGTTAAAGTAGACAAAACTTTTATATTCACAGTGTGTTGCGTGTAGAAGAAGATACTTTACTTTCACATCTTAACAGTGATTTGTCTGATTCAAATCTGATGTTAACTGTTGTGAATAATAATATAATGTGGGAGTATTAGGTTTAGGTTTAGGATTGGTGCAGAAGTAACGATTAAGTGTCTGTCACACAAAGCAGGATAGCAAAAGAGCCTTGGCAAAGTCTTGGAGGGATATTAATGAAATGAACAAAAACGCTCTGAACGTGGCAAAAAAATAGAAGACTAAACCATTTGCCTAAAATATTTCCCAGATCCAAGACTAAATGCAATGCTAGAGTAAATATAAACTAGATAATTGCACTTTTCTAAATATCTGCCTGCCATTGTGACAAGTATGATTTGGGGTCAAAGAAAAATGAGCATTGGATGATACTATTGCTAAATGTTCATATATGCAAGGTTTTCCATTCTAACTTCAATTAAGTATGTAAAATAAAAATTTTAAAATGTTTTATTAAGAATATCTAATGACCTGCTTAAGAATTCTTAGAACTTGTACTCTTAGTTCTTCTCTTCCTATCTTAGTTAAATATAATTCTACTCAGTTATAACTTTCCATTTGGAGTATGGTTTTACAAATTCTTTCTGTATGGGTGGCATATTTGTATGTAACGTGTTCAACTATTAACGATGTTTATGGTGATGCTTTTTTTATTTTAGTTCTCTGTCTTCTAACCATATTTCCAAAATAGAACAAATTTTTTTGTTGATCTGTTTTAAATCTATAGTCTTTTCTAACATATGGTATCTCTGAGTTTTTTGAACACAATATTAAAATGATGAATTTATTTTCAAACTTTAAGCAATCTACTGACTACAAAATAAACTCTAACTCTAACTACATTAGGAAAAAAAATCAATTTTTATTTGGGGGGGGCAGAGTCTCACTCTGTTGCCTAGGCTAGAGTGCCGTGGCATCAGCCTAGCTCACAGCAACCTCAAACTTCTGGGCTCAAGCAATCCTTCTGCCTCAACCTCCCGAGTAGCTGGGACTATAGACATGCACCACCATGCCTGGCTAATTTTTTCTCTTTTAGTAGAGACAAGGTCTCACTCTTGCTCAGGCTGGTCTCAACTCCTGACCTGAAGCGATCCTCCTGCCTCAGCCTCCCAGAGTGCTAGGATTACAGGAATGAACCATCATGCCTGCCCACAATTTAATCAATTTTAAAAAAACAAGGAATACTTGAAAAGCTATGTATTAGAAGGTCAGGAGTAGCAGTTGGATCACAAAAATAATTAGAGCAGAGTCTTAGCTATCTCTGTAACTGTTATTGAAATTATTTTCTCTAGAAGGTAATAAATAAATATCAATTATATTTTCTGAATTTTATATGGCAAAAGTTTTCTTTGACTAACTTTTCTTAGATTTAATACAAATTACCAATGGGCAATTTGTATTGGTATATGCTGTGGGGGTATTGGTATATGCTGAAACCCACTCTGAGCCAAAGTGACTAAAGAACAGATCATATAAGATCATAATTGTTACTAAAAAAGGTGCAACTTCAGGAAGATTGGTGCTCTTGCTCCTGGAAGAACTGAGATACTAGACTAAAAGATATAATCATAAGGAATGGATAAACACCATGATTTCAAAATACTGGAAGTTGAATCTCTAAGGCACTCGAAATACGAACAGCTTTAAAGGTTTTTTTTAAAAAAGTATTTTATAGAGATGCATCATATCACATATATTAAACAGGAAGTTAAATTTAAAATTTACACTGAATTCCTGAGGTAAGATAGATTTCCTGTGCTGAGTTGTAGAGACAGTGAGTTGTGAGATAGAACAACTGCATTGGACAAAGGAAGTATCCAAGAACTAACTTCCCTACATCCACCTACTCCAATCATAGCCAAGAATCTGAGGGAAGTTGAGAAAGAGAACTGGAAAAGAAACATTGCTGGAGAGAGGTGCTGTCATGTTCCACTCAATGATGAGGGGAAGCATGGATACAGTAACCAATAAAATACAGGACTGCCTATTAACTTTGAAATTCAGATGAATAATGAATAATTTCTGTATAAATTTGTCCTAAATACTGTGTCATTTGTTACTTAATTGATATTAAAATTTAACAGGGTGTCTTTATTTTATTTGATAAATCTGTCTAGACTAAATGTGAAGGGACTCTACCTTCTAACCCTGAGTCTAGTCACAGGGGCCCCAAAGGGACTACACAGAGAGTGTGCCCCACAATGGGGACTTGGAAGACAGGCTGAGAAAGTCAGGGTGACCTCAGTGCAGAATGGTGGTCTGTCTCTTTTCAGAAGAAGAAAAGAACATGAGCGTTGGCCGTGATAAAGACGTGGGCCACATACAAATATTGTCAGAATGAAGCCCTCTTAATTCCTGCCCAAAAACCAGGAGCGTGTGGGACTGAGTGGGAACAGGGCATTGGGAAGGCAGGGGCTGCAGCAGGACAGGCTGTATGTCCACGTCACAGCCCACATCACTCAGAGTGCCACCAAAGCACCCATGGGACCCAGATTGAATTTAAACCTACGCCAAACCCAAAGAATGCAAAGATATCTTACCTCCATGCAAATTAATAGGAATTTTCTATATTCCATCTTCTCTAAAAATCTAACCCAAGAAGAACTGGAAGTCTCAGGTGGTATTATCAGCATGATAAGTAAAAAAAAGTTAATCACACCTCTCTGGAAAAAAGGGGGCAAACTACTTACTGGGAGAAGCAGGGGATGGTTCGGGGGTGTGGGGAGAAGGAGCAAGGAATTTTACTTTTCAATGAAGCACGAAGTCTTAAGAGAGATTGTACTGAATACTTCTAACTGCATAATTCAGAAGATTTTTATGGAGTAAAGTCATAGAACATTTTTTTAAATGAAAATAACAAGAAAAAAGAATCCATGAATAAATTTTTAAAAGACCATGAGAAATAGTACACAAAGTTGTGTTGATCCTATTTCTTTAGTTATATTCGTTCAACCCATCAGTTACATGCATATATATGATATGTCTGTTTACCATTTTTTAGTATCCAATTGTAAAAGTCTATGAAGGATTAAAGTATTAAAATAGCATGAGAATTTGGCATATTTGGGGGGAATTTATTATATATACTACTATTTTATTTGAGACAATGATTTTTTTAAATTTTTATGACATAAATTTAATCTGTCAAGTTTATCTTGGGTGAATTAAGATATACAATGTAACCAAAATGTCAAAAAAAAAATCAAAACAAAACTTTTTATCGGGTGGTGGGCAGGCGGTAGGGGGGAGGAGGAAAGGGGTGTATTCTTCCATAACGTGTGTGATGCGCACCACCGGGGGATTGGACACACTGGGGGGATGGTGGGGGGCAGGGGAAATATTTGTAACCCAAATAATATTTGTACCTCCATAATATGATGAAATTAATAAAATTTAAAAAAATGGTAATAAAGACTGTTATGTTGGGAAAATGGGTATAGAATTTTCTTTTTCCTAACAGAAATCTAGAAAAATATGCTGCAATTAGACTAGGAACTGATGATACCTAAATCATGCAGTGTTTCTAACAATAGGTCTCCCTATATTTCTTAAGGAATGAGCTTTGTACTAGAAGACTCTGTTTAGAAGGAATTTTTAATGAATTCCTACTGACACACATGTGTCTCTCTTTGCCATCTCATTCTTTGCTTCTCTATCTTGTGTATCAATATCATTCAGTTTCCACAAAGTCAGCCTATCTCAGGCTTGTTATACTGTCCACAAACATGAAAAGAAAAATGGGTTGTTTCAGAGTTGTAGAAGGGATACCTTTTTATACATACCTCTTTTAATAGTTCAGTGGAAAATGCAGGTGCAGACACAACCAAATCAATGAAACTTTGTTTTCCTTTTAGAGACCAAGTCTTGCTATATTGCTCAGGTTGGACTTGAACTCTTTGCCTCAAGATCCTCCTGCCTCAGCGTCTTTAATAGCTGTGACTACAGGTGCACACCACCGCTCCCAGCTACAATGAAATTTTAATGCATCATAAGGGTTCATTCATATCATTTTACTTTTTTAGATAAATCAGTGCAATTTTGAAAGCAAGTACTACAACTAAATGGGAAACATTTGTTAAATAAACAGGGCAACATAAAATCAGCATTTCTGGAGTTAATATCTATCATATACTGAAAATGTATGAGATGATTATTTCATTCTGTGATGCTATGATGGTCCTTTTGAGCATATAATACTCAAAACTTATATATTAATATAAATATGTTTAATTTTATTTACAATATATTAGTAGTAGTTAGAAAAAATAGTGTTTTAAGGTGATACAGTTTCTTGACATCTTGTAATATAAAAACATTATTTGTTCAGATGTCCAAATTAATCTTCTCTAAAATGGGCATAAAATTATGGGTCTTTAGATACGCAATGACTCCTTCAATCCTCTGTTGTCATTCCTAGATGACAATAGATTTGAGCCAACATTAATCACACATGAAACAGAAAAAAACAGAAAACTTGTAGATTTGATTTCTAGAACTGTTCTCATAGCTGTGCACAGTGGAAATAACTTCTTCTGTATTTGCTGTGACGCTCAGCCACGGTGCCACCGCAAAGATGATGGCAAACATTTGATATAGCATTTACAAGTCACAAGTAATTCCCTCTACCCTTTTTAAGTCAGGGATTGTAAGAGCTTACATATTTCTTGGCTTATTGTTAAGTCAAGGCTTCCTACACAATAGTCTTCCTACTGGGACCATTTCCATTCCTAGACTAAAAATTGCAGAGCTGTGATTAGGCAGACATCTTGTGCCAAATAAGGGCCTCTGTGATGTGATCTGGGCCTGAGTCCCACTTTATCATATGTTATATAATTATAACAATCATATAGTAAGTTAAACTCGAGAAAGCAATTTATATAAAAACATAGAAATATAACTTTCCTGTTTAAAACAATGCCATGGGCAATTTTCTCACATTAAGTGAGTAACTAAATTTAATCTAAGGTATGGTATATTTGTTTCAAGAATGTTGCAAAAATTTAGGGAGAGAAGACTTTCATGTCCATAGAAACCAACATCATACAACTATAGTGCAGTTTCTCCATTCCAGGGAATAAATCCTTTAGATCCAAGAAATGGGATAAAATTCTCTCTTGATTCTTCTGCGGGCTTTGCCATGGTAGAGCTTCAGAAAGCTCCCTGGCTACGGGAGACACTTTCTGGTTTATAGCATAGTAAGCAGGGCATATATTTGAAGGTAGGAGATTATAGTTAGCTACACAAGGTAAAATGATTAACTCATAATTTCCCCATTTCTGCCTGGCCCACAGTATTTTTCATGTTCAAGACTAAAAGATGCATCAATTCATCAAATATTAAAGTAAGTAGCAACGAATACCTTCTGCTTAGTTGTATGAATCAACGACTCAGCTTAGGTTGATATTCCACAATTCTGACAAAATACTTTTGAGTACTAGTTCTGCCAAATTCGAAATACCACATTATTATCTCAGGATTTGTTTTCCTTCTACAATCATAGGATAACAGTTTGGCTAGATTGGTAAATGTTTATCATTATATTACCCCTATTTTATAGATGAGTTAAGTGAAGCTTAGAGGCAGTACATGGTTAGAAACTAGAATATATAAGTATTCTTTAGCTTATTTTTTCAATTTTGATATGAATTTTATGAATGATATGATTTTGAATGAATGATAAAATTTAATTTTCCCACCATTGATTTATCACTAGTACAGTGTCTATCTCTGTAGAACATATATATGTGTGTGTGTGTATATATATATATAATTATATATACATAAAATTTATCCTTGGATTTTAATTCTCCATAATACAGACAATATGTTGTAGTTAAATTTTATTTTTAAGAAATAAGGACACTCCGTTGTTGACCTCATTTGATATAAGTAAAAAACTGTGATGAAACATGGCTTATTTTTCAAGCTCTGGCAGTGGATTATTTTCTGACATTGTAAGACTTCCTGATTTCTCTGTACTTTAGGTTTTCTGAATCACATAATCAACTGTCTTAATGTTTAATATTTATTGAATATTAAATGAATGCCATGTAGTCTTTTACATATTCTAGTATAGTCAGAACAATCGTGCAAATTAGGAGTCATAATCCCCATTTTATGGAAGAAGAAACTTAAGGTCAAGCAGTAGAAATGGCCAAGGCCAAGGTCAAACAACAAGTAAGAGGCAGACTTGATCTGAACCCATGCCTCCCTGCTTCTAACGCCTATGTTTTTTCCTTTCTTTTACACTGCCCCAATATGCCAGGGGCTATGATCATGAGTAATCCTTTTTAGAGAAGTAATAATATACTTTTTGCTGTATTATTTCAATTCATTGTTATGTAGGAACAACAATAGTAAATATTATTTACTTATTATACACTCAAATGCTTTAACTATCATTGAACTTGGATTAATGACAGAAATGAAAGAGAAATGTAACACTAGTCTCCTCCTTTGGTGACCTTCATTTTCCTTGAATTAAAAACAAGGAAATCATGAACTAACTGGTGTTTAATAAAGACACTATGTGACAAAGGTAATGTGGCGTCTAAAACAAGTACCAAAAGTAGATTCACAGCCTCAGTCCTCATCCCGGGTCCTTCCGTCACCCCGATGACCTCATGTTGTTTCTAGGAGATCACTCAGGACCTGGCGTCCTCCTAAGGAGACAGTTGGCCAGGGTGATTATGAAGATCAAGTGTTCACTACACGTGGGAAAGTGTAACCTACATAAACATAAAAGTGAGTAGTAAACAATTTAATGTTCAAGCTCTTAGTGACCTCAGGAAGAATGTTTGTGCATGTTAGCGCTACACTGTAATGATTTTATAAACTGATCAGTTGAGTTCCTTGCATCTGATGAGTATGATTTTCTTTCCAAGTAGCACACTAATTACCTAGATGTTAGTCTCATCCTGAAAATAGTTCGTTCTTCCCAAAAAGCAACTGGTAATAAAAATCCCTCCCGTTTCCATGATCACAAAAGGACAAGATTGCAGAACCTTGAATTCTGATCCAAGAGATATTGTACAGAACCCCAGTGCCATGCGGTAGACCAGTCATTTCCTGCATTGTATCCTGCATGATAAGGGATAAGCATCTACAGGCAACATTTTTACAGAGGAGGTGCTGAAGGCGAGAAGTTTTCTTAAATTCCAGGAATGCATAGGGAAGTTATTGAAGGAGAGAATAGTAAATCCCCAAGATTTGTATTAAGAGTTCTAATGCTGCATGGAATACACTGGAAAATTATTCTCTACAACAGTGGATTCAACAATAAAGACAGGGATACAAATGTAACCAAAAAAAAAAATAAACTTCAGAGATTCCTGGATAAAATGGCTTGCTAATTCAAGGATAAGGGAAACGGAAAATCAATATAAGTGCCAAATTAAATACTATTTGTAGCCCCTTGAATATATATTTATGTTTGAGTTATTAACTGCCTAATAAAGACTATGTAGTTTATTCCACAATGTGGTTTTAGTTATAAATGACGGTTTATAATGTCTTGGATTTAAACAAAATCAAATACAGTACAACTAAAACAGGCATATATTTATTGGGTGTGACCCAACAGATAATTTCAGTCAAGAGTCTGCTACCCAGATCAATAAATAGTAACTCTCCTATTAAAGAATGATAATTTAATTACTTATTCTGTGCCCCGTATTAAGAAAGTGCTTTGAAAATTGTTACTATTGATCACATCCAATTAAAAAGCCTTCAAGTCTTCCTCGTTTAGCCTTATACCATCTCTTCTTGGGAGGAGGAATGCAATTATTGTAGCCATTTACTGATGAGGAAGTTGAAACTTGATTGTATCACTTGTGCAAGATCATCCAACCAGCAAGCAGCTCGCAGGGGTTTGAACCAGTCATGCTGACTCCAGAATGTGGCAACTGATACTCCACGGTTGGGTTTCTTACTACTCTTATCTTGTATATGGGAAATAATAAGTACTTTTCAAAATATATTAACACAGAGTTCTGGGCAGAGTGCCAGGGTTTCAGTTCATGGCAATGCCTCTGTTCCCCTTATCTTAACAGCTTCTCTTTCTTTCTGCAGAGGTATTGATTAAAGAGAATTGTCTTTGGTTTCATAGCTGGTGAGCATTGAATAAGACATTTTCATATGTAGTCTTGAGCTTTATCACTAAATGAAAATGATTATAGCCACAGCAGTCGAATGAGTGAATACTGCTTCAGAGTTTTTTCATCTGTCAAGTCAAGTAGTGATTTTTTAGTTTCTTTAAGATTTCCATAAGATTAGTCCAGCAGTTTTACCGGCATTAGTCAAGAGAATATTGCCATTCGGAAACATCCTGAATATGTCAGCCACGATTTCCATGGCTAATTTTCTCTTTTCCTAATGCTGTACACTTCCAAAGTAAAGTGTACCAAAAGAGAAAATTCGAATGATGCTATTTAAGCATACTAATTAATTCCATATGGGCCATACATACATTTATTCATTCATTCATCAAGGAGTAGATAGATAGATAGATAGATAGATAGATAGATAGATAGATAGATAGATCGAACGAACCTCTCTGTGTTGCCTGGGCTAGAGTGCAATGGTGTCATCATAGCTCACAGCAAACTCAAACTCCTGGGCTAAAGCAATCCACCTGCCTCAGCCTCCCAAGTAGCTGGGACTACAGGTATATACCACCATACCTGGATAATTTTTCTATTTTTTGTAGAGATGAAGTCTCACTATGTTGCTCAGGATGGTCTCGATCTCCTAGCCTCACACTATCCTGCTGTCTCTGATTCCCAAAGTACTATGATTATAGGCATGAGCCATAACCCTGGACTCATCAAGAAATATTGTTTGAAGCCATGACCTCATTCTCAGATTTGACTTGCTTCCCCCTGCTCTCCTTCCTTAAGATAGGCACCTGTCATTCAGCCTCAGTAGCTTCCTAGTGTTATCTTTATGAGGATTCTCCACCAAGCCCGGGTATGGATTGGAATCTAGTCTCCTTATCAATCCAGTTCCTTCCTCACAAAATATGTACAACTGACCCCTTACGCTACTCCCAAAGTCAAGGAAATAGTTCCTTCCCTTGAGAAAAAGGTATTAATATGTCAAGAGGCAATGAAACAGTTTTTCAAATTAAAGGAGCACAGAAATTCCTGAACAGAATATTACAATAAATGCACATTTATACATGT